AACTTATATAGTGTTTGACAACAAATACACTTACTAACATACTAAATAAAAAAGATAATAAAATTTAAAAAAATATTTAGGGTATCTCAATAGTCACTTTGATTCTGAGTCTAACCAGCTTTCAGTGCTCACTCTCATGCTTTGTCCTTCCCTCTCTCTCTTTCTTTCTTCTCTTTTTCTTTTCTGTCCAACCACTTTCTATTACTAATTCTATTTAGATTATTCTAAAATGTATATCTTTACTCAGAACCTCTCCTGATAATCAGATCTGTAAATACAATTTCCTGACTTAACATTATTTCCTCCTGCTGTTTCACAGCAGAAAAGATACACGTCAAATTTGATGGATAGCAGGGTGCCGGTGACTCACACTTGTAATCCTAGCTACTCAGAAGGCTGAGATCTAAGGATGGCAGTTCAAAGCCAGCTGGGTCATGAGCTCCTGAGACGCTTATCTCCAATAAATCACTCAAAAAACAGAAGCAGAGCTGTAGCTCAAAGTGATAGAGCCCTAGCATTGAGCAAAAGAGCTCAGGGACAGCACCCAAGCCTTCAGTTCAAGCTTCATGACCAACAAAAAAAAGATAAATACATCATTATTTCTTCTAAGCCAGATCTTTCTATAGAAATGTCCATCTTCATAAGTATTATTCTTCTGTGGCACAAAGCCTGAAGCCTTTAAAATACTCTACTCTGACAATATTCTCTCTTTCATGTCCATATCTATTTCCTCACCAACTACTTGTAGTTTTTCTTAAACTCCTCAGAACTCACTTTTCTCCATACTACTGTCCATGACTACTATCCAAACAAAAGCCATGAGAGCTATGAATATCTTTCACTAAGAGCCAGAATAACTTTCTAACTTGTCAACTAACATCACTCTGCATATGATCTCCCCCTCACCTCATGTTTTTCTCACAATTTATTTTGGAAACAAAAGTGATATTTCTTTCCAAAATGCTAGTATAATGTCAACTTCTATTTTTAGGCTCACTGTTATTAAAATTCAGACAAAACTAAATAAGACTAATAGAACACTGAGTGTTCTGACTCCTAACTACATCTACCTACCTTCCCATATTGTTAACTGTACCTGTGTGGTGGCTATCCTGGTCTGCTTTCAGTTTTTCCTATCCTCCCCTGAGATCTTTGTCCACCCTTGTCTACTTGTCTGCAGTGTTCACATTATGAAACTAGTTGGCTTTCTTGCCCATTTGCAACCTGAACTTCCAGGTTGTACCAAAATATACTATGCAAATAAAGATGAATTGGTAATGCTTATTTGATGTAGACAAAACTGTCCTTTGCCCTCGAAATTCCTCTTCCCATCTCATATAAAAGATTCAATGGACATTTTTAAAAGGAATGAGCTGGCACTGGTGGCTCATGCTTATAATCCTAGCTACTCAGGAGGCTGAGATCTGAGGATGGCAGTTCCTGGGCAGGAAAGTACGTGAGACTGTTTACCTCCAATTAACCACCAGAAAACCAGAAGTGCTGTGGCTTAAGTGGTAGAGTGCTAGCCTTGGGCAAAAGAGCTCAGGGACAGTGCCCAGGCCCTGAATTCAAGCCCCATAACTGACAATAAATTAAATAGATTAATAAAACAAAAGGAAATGCAAGTAATACACCTTAATTGTCAATCTCTTTAAGACAACAGGGAATCATAAAGGAGTGATTCACTAAAGCCAAAGCTAAATGTTGCCTAAGGAAGAAAGGAAAGATGCTGTTCAAATGAAGCAACAAATCCTACACTCTTGTCCCCTTACCTGCCTCCTGGAATTTGCTCATATTCTTCTACATCATTATTAATATTGCTGTCCTTATGGTATCACTTGATATTAAAGCAGGATAGAGGAGGCAGAGAAATGTATGAAAAGGACTAGACCCAGACATTAGAACTAGTACGTAATTTTTAAAGTTCAGAGTAAGTATTTAGTACTTTCCTTATCTCTCTGTCTGTCTGTCTGCCTAAATTTTAGTGAGGATACTGGGGCTTAAACTCAGGACCTTGCATTCTTATTCTGTTTTCTTGCTCAGAGCTAGCATTATCTTGTATCATGCCTCAAGTATGTCAATTTGCTCATTAATTGGGGATGGAGTCTTGCATTTCCAAGTAACAGACGTTAAGCCTGCTTCTGGGATAGATAGTTTCTACATTTTCTATCTTCTTCAACCTGCCTTTTAAAGTCTTTAATCCTGGTCACCTCCAACATTATATAATAGGACTCTTCACTTGGGCCTGTGGCTACCCACTGGGTAACTGTAATCAAAATAAAAGTTAGAAATTTCTGCCTTTGTTTTGATTTGTCATAGTTGCTATCTTAACATTTGGTCAGATTCCTGTTCAACTCTGTCCCAAGATACTTTAAGGAACATTCCTCTAAAACTAGTTATACTTCTCCTTTCAAGGATGAAGATGTCAAGATAAAAGTAAGGTACTTCTGAGATTTGTAGGAACATCATAATAAGCAGATGAACAGGAGGCTGTCAACCACCAGCTTTTACAATATTGTGTTTTGAACTACCAGAACAGTGCCAGAAATTTCCAGTTAGGGCCCTGAATCTGCAAGAAGTAACTTCTCTTTCTGGCTCATTCTTTCCTTTGAGCCATTCTCTCTTGCGGTCACTCTGGATTCTAGTAATAATGGGTCTAATCAATAATCATCTCATGACAAGTTGAAACTGTTCCCAAGCAGCAACTGTTTCATACCCAACAATATCCATCGCTGTTCTTGAGATAATGGTTGACCCAGCCACAATTTGACCAAGCTTGTTTGACTATGCCACTCTGCTTTTGTTCCCTCCCCTACAAGACTTCAAAGCTCTTATCAACATTTGGAAGACTGGATTGATGATGCTAGGTTCCTGTTCTTTACCAGTGTAGCTAGTGAATACATTCCTATTTTATCACTATTTTTTCCATTTCTTTTTTGAGAGGAAGATGCCCAAGCTTTGTCTGTTGGGATCCCTAGAGTCAGTCTTTTGCCCTAGGCTTCTAGTTAAAAATTCGACTTCTCTGATCAAAGGGTTATATTGAAGGCCTTTCTGATGCTTTGTAGTTCTTTCCTAAATATCCCTGAGGTGGTTGCAGGTACTTAAGCTGCTTTTGCTCAGAAGCACTGACTCTTTACTTGGATCCACAAATTAACTGAAAGTGGGATAGGCATCCTAGCTTCCATTTTATCTGTGTCCTTTGTACTAAGCCATTCTCTTCTCAGTCACTTTGCCCATCTTGAAACCTAGGAAGGACGACCAGCTGGGCATCAATGGCTCTTACAAGGCTCTACCTGATCAATCCTGAAACAATGAGCTGTCAGACTGTCTGTGGCTGCTGCCAAAGCCACTTGTGACCAGGACAACATACCTATAGCTGTGACTATTTAATAAAGATGCATAACCTTTCACTTTGTCCCATTTCTTCCTTCTATTTGCACCCAAAGCACATGTTTGTTGAGGAAGATGAGTTGAAATACCCATTCTGTGTTATAAACTTTCTTTCACTGTCCTTCAACACAATTTGTCTTTTGTGTGTATTTAGTGTATAGAAGTGAGTAGCTGGACCTGAGCTCTGAAACCCTTAGCCCTAAAAAATCCTGTGATAATCATAGTTATGACATAAAAATAGGACATGAAACCTTTTAATTTGTAACACAATCACACATACCTCTTGAGATTAGTTCATTATTACGTTCTTAGTATCTAAGATAATATCTGCAGGGTGAACTAATTTAGTAGTCATACTTACTAGACATTTTGTTGGAAATGAACTATATAACTTGGTGGGGAATGGGGTCAGGAGGGAAAAAACTTGGAGAAAATGAAGGAGGCGGTGAGACTATTCAAAAACAAATGTACTCAATACCTGACTTATTTAACTGTAATCCCTCTGTACATTGCTTTTACAATAAAAAATTTTAAAAGATCCTAAATATTTTCAGATTATTTAAATAAATAAAATATTTAAACGGTCAATGGTATTATCTGTATTTGGGGATTTTTGAAAAGTGTTATATTGGCATTCTCTTAGTCTTAGGCATGTCAACCCAGGTACTAACCTGAAAAAAAAAATAGCTATAATATACCTGGTGCTCTAATCAGGGTGGTAAATTACTTTTGCTCTTGTCAGCAAATTTGCTTTAATTAGCTCACCATTTACTATTTCATGTATTTGTGTGAGAGGTGAATTTATAAAGTACATATATTCATATATATTTGTAAATCCACTGGGAGTAGAGTTTCTAGCATGATGTTTTCTTTGGCTTATATATAGAATATTGCAGTATTTCCTTGTTTGGGGCACTTGAGAGAACCACTTACAGACCAACATGTATATTCTGGCATTTGTGGCACACGGAAATTGGTCTTTATCTCAATACTGACAAATCTAAAAGCAAAATGTGGGCTGGAGTGGATTGTGAGAGAATAAGGAAAAAGCACTGTGTACAAAGTGATTCTTTCTGTCATTGGAGTGGTAAAACAGTGTAAAACAAGAAAACAGTGCCATTCTCTCTCATATGTAACTCATGCAGTCTTTCTGGCCTGGCTGACTCTCTGGGGTATCCAGAAAGAGAAAGAGTTAAGTGATACCATTTGTATTAGTCAGAAAACCATAGCCTAAAGGTAAAATCTAGTTTGCCATCTGCTTTTCTAAATCAAGTTTTATTGAAACACAGTCACACTTATTGATGAAGTACTGTTTAAGACTGCTTTCCTATACAATTGCTGACTTGTAGGTTTGCAGACAAAATTATATTATCCACAAGTCCTGAACTATTATCTATCTGGTATTTTATAGAAAAAGTTTATTAATATAATGCATGAGTTATTATTTGTTGGGAGCATCTATTTATAGGTATTTGTTTCCTCAGGACAGTAACGTTCTTCCTCTGAAAGGCAATAGTTAAAGCTATTTAACTACATTTAAATCTGATCCTAAAGCACATTATCATTTCCTTTATGTTCTGTATCTTCTCAATGTTTCTGTTTTGGAGAAGATGGTGGTGGCTGCAGAACTGAAGCTGCTGGAGCAGTCTCTGGGGCATAAATACAGAGCAAATGTGGGCCCTTCATGAAGAGTTGCACCAAGATGGAAGAAACTGGTCAGAATTTCTGGGCCACCTCTCCAGATGGTCTTCCCAAACCTTACTAAACTTTAAATTCCAGTTCTTCACACAAACAATGACCCAAGTCTAACAGAATTGACCACTATGGCAATTCACCGAGGCAAGCAAGTCAACAAAGAGTATTTGCTGGCAAGTACTATAAGAAAGGTTAGAATACAAGATCATTCAAGTAGATGGACGCTACAATAAAGAAGATATCCACACTCTGTTGACGGATCTTCATTGATATGTTTAAGACAAAGTCTATATTACAGGATATAATTTACCTTAGCAGATATCCTATTGTACTATGTATAGGCTTTCTTGTTTATAGTTGAGCTGACAGTTCAAGAAGTGGAGAAATATCTTAATGTGTACTGCTGGTTTTGTCACATTCAGCATTACCCAGGCATCAGGTAACAGCTGTCTAGTGTTGTCTTCATCAAGAACAGACTGTATACCAATTACCAATAGAAGATACCCCTGCTGGAAGAAATATACAGAAATGTTGAAAATGTTTAAAGAAAAATGTATTCTGGACCTCAGTACTAACCTTAATTGAGATCGTCATTGTTTGTTAAATTTGGTTTAATTTTTAAAGTATAAACTACTGTCATAAGTGCCTTATTTGTTCTATAGTTGAAGTTTTGCAGTTTTTAAGGTAGAAATTGAACTGCTATCAAAAAGTTCAGATCAAGTTATAAGTTATTTTGTTTCATAGATGAGATTTATTTTAATGAAAGCTGAAAATCAGTGACTTAATTTTAAAAATAGGTAATGCTTACAATGGTTGAAATGTGTGACTATTAACCTCTCTTTCCTATTTTAAAATTTACTTTCCTTTTGTGGATATTTATGGCTGCTTGTTTATTAGACTCTTCAATAAATTATGCCAAGGATACAGAAAGGGAAGACAAATCTATTGTTTTCAAGTATTTATGTGAACTAATAAATGTGATTGAAAACATAATATTTCTCTTTTGTGTGAGATGTGAGTTGAAGACTTAGTTTCTTTCGCTTGGCATTTTCTAGCTAATCTTCACACTATCATTCTAGGAATCAGTATGTCATAACAAGAGGGACCTTCAATATGGGACACTCTGGTTACCACTCAGATACCAAATCCCCCCCACCCGACCTTCCCTAGGATAAAATACATATGTTCCTAGCTGCTGTTTTACTACTATCAGTTCTTTGTTGTCAATCATTTTCAGAATTGCTTTGGATAAGGAGAGCATGCTTTCTCAAAGTGGGCTATGTATCATAAATGTATCACATTTGTGTCCTTTCCTTTTTCCTTCCCTAATTTGGAATACCTAGGACAAGCCATCTCAACTTTAGAGTCTACATAGTTGGCTGAGGCCTTTTTGAGACTGCATTGCACTCCCAAGTAGCCCCCTGCCAAACCCAACCTCTTTTCACTTCCTCCCAAGATTATTCCTTGATACATTGCTTTCATATTAATCTCTACTTCAGAGTCTACCTAGGGGACTATAAGCAAAAATAAAATAACTTCTTGGTTTCAGAAACCGGAAATTCCCATAGCATTTACTTGGGAAGAGGAAGACAGAATTTTGAGTTCCAAGTTCAATATCATCCCTACAATATGATAATCTCTTTAATTACAAATGACTTTTAAGCACTGTCTAATTCTTTGCTTTCTATAAGAAGCAGTCTTTACAAAAAAAAAAAAAAAAAATCTGTGAAGCCGAGTGCTGGTGGTTTATGCTTGTAATCCTTGCTACTCAGAAGGCTGAGATCTGAGTATCGTGGTTCAAACTAACCCAGGCAGGAAAGTCAATGAGACTCTTATCTTCAATGAACCACCAGAAAATTGGAAGTGGTGCTGTGGCTTAAGTGGTAGAGCGCTAACCTTGAGCTGAAGAGCTCAGGGACAGCACCAAGGCCCAGAATTCAATCCCCACAGCCGACAGGAAAAAAAAAATCTGAATTGCCTTTATATGCTCTTTCTGATATTTTGATAGTGTAGTTGTGTGTGTGTGTGTGTGTGTGTGTGTGTGTGTGTGTGTGTGTGTGTGTGTGTGTGAGCTTAAACTCATGGCCTGGGTGCTGTCTTTGAGCTTCTTTTGCTTCCTAAGGCTAGTCTACCTCTTGAGCCATTGCTCCACTTCTTGCTTTTGGGGGGCAGTTAATTTGAGATAAGAATCTCAGACTTTTCTACCTGGGCTGGCTTCAAACTGTGATCCTAAGATCTCAGTCTCTGAGTACCTAGGGTTATAGGTGTGAGCCATCACCTCCTAGTTGATAGTATAATATTAAGAGACTGTCAACTAAGTTCCACTGGGATCAGTTAGCTTATGATAGATAGACTAGAGTGGAGATCATTAAAAATTAACATGACAGTTTGATTTCCACATTCCATATTTCTTAGCTGTATGATCTTGGCCAAATTTCTTAAAAATTCAGGGTATCAGATTTATTATCTGGGAATTGGGTGTCAACATTACTCATTAGAGGCAAAAGGGGTTTTCTTCTTATTCCATTGCTTTCATTTATCTGAAAGATATTATCCATTCTATTTCATTTCATTCAGTTTCAGAGGGAATTGCTCAGGATTTTAAGATATTTCCATCATTATAACGGTTACAGCATTCATGTTTTCAAGAAATCTGTCAAGGAGACAAAACTTGAAACAATATATTATAAATGAGTATGCACATATGTAAGTAGTATATACCTTGTGGATATATGCAATAGAACATATATATGAATACAGATGTAGTATGTACATATATAAAATATATAAATACATATTCATACATGAAATCTTCATAGCAAAAATGATGTCCAAATGATATTAAATGGGCATTGTGTTAGGAAATGCAGATCAAGTACATGTAATATGGGAACATTTTCATGTTATCAACTTATAATTATTTTCTGATAGATTTGCTGGCAATAAATTCACAGTCTTCATTCACTTTTATTCCTAAGAGTATTTTCAGAAGGAATTTTATTCTGGATTGATATTTATTTTCTTTCAGAGTTTTAAATGTGCCTTTTTTTGGGGGGGGGGGAGTCAGTTGTGGGGCTTGGGCGCCATCCCTGTGCTCTTCAGCTCAAGGCGGGCGTGCTACTGCTTGAGCCACAGGGCCACTTCCAGTTTTCTAGTGGTTTATTGGAGATAAGAGTCTCATGACTTTCCTGCCCGGGGCTGGCTTTGAACCATGTTCCTCAGATCTCAGCCTCCTGAGTAGCATTTACTATCCCCTGACCTCAGTATTTTGAGATGAGAAGTCTGAGTCATTTAAATAATTGTTTTCTTACTATAATGTGTCAATTTCTCTTCTAGGTTTGATATTTTGGTTTCTGTTTTCCAGTAGTTTCATAAAGTTGTGATATGTAAATTTTGCTTTGATTTATCCTTTTTGAGTTTCACTGGCCTCAATTCTGTAAATCTGTCTTTCACAATATTTGGGCTATTACAGCCCAATAAATAAATGGATAATTTATGGATAAGAAATAGTAATAGAATGAGTGAACATGATCATAGTATATTATGTGCATATATGGAATTATTATAGCAAATCCTCTTGCTAGGTACAATTTATAATAATTGTATTTATAAAATACTTTTTTTTTTACTAATTTCTTCTTTTTTTCTGAATGTTCCATTACATGAGTTCCTGGTCTTTTCATACTGTTCCACAGTTCTGTGACATTTTGTTCATTTTTTTCCCTTTATTGTTTAGACTATATTATAATTTCAATTGGTTAACACATAACTCACTGACATTTTCCTTTGTCATCTTCATTCTGCCTTTGTGCACTTATGTTAATTTTGTTATTTTTTGGTTCTAAAATTTGGTTTCTAAAATTTACTTTTAATTATCTACTCCTCAGAGAACTACTCCTCAGAGAACTACCTTTCTATTCTGGAGAATTCACTTTTACAACTTTGAGGATGATTATAATGATTTCTTTATACCTATGTTTGAAAATTCTAGTATCTGGTCATCCAGAGTACTGTTTGAGTCCATCTTCTGTTTCTGTTGCTGAATGCTTAAGAAGTATATTTTAAGAAATTAGATTTTCATAAGCTGAATCTTGGTGGTTCATGCTTGTAATCCCACATACTTAGGAGGCTGAGATCTGAGGATTGGGGTTCAAAGCCAGCCCGGAAAGCAAAATCTGTAAGGCTATGAACTCCAATAAACCACCAAAAATCTGAAAGTTGGTCTATGGTCCAAGTGGTTGAGGGATACCCTTGAAAAAAGAAAGCTCAGGGACAGTGTCCAGGCTCTCAGTTCAAGGCCCAATACTGGCATACACTGGCCGGGGGGCGGGGGGGGGGGTAAGAACTTAGATTTCCTTTTTTTTTTTTTTTTTTTAATATACTATCATCTTCTGGGCTGGGAAGGTGGCTCAGTGGCAGAGCGCTTGCCTTGTATACATGAGGCCCTGGGTTCGATTCCTCAGCGCCACATAAGAAAAAAGAAAAAAGCTAGAAGTGACGCTGTGGCTCAAGTGGTAGAGTGCTAGCCTTGAGCTGAAGAGCTGAGGGACAGCGTGCAGGCCCAGAGTTCAGGCCCCACGACTGGACCCCTAAAAAAAAAAAGTAGTTGTAAAAAAAAGTGGTTTCAGTTCAAAAAATCAATTTATAAGTACAATGCAGCTTGATCAGTTTTACCCATTCCACCATTCTCCCCCATATTTACCAACCAGTATTCTACTTCTATAGCAAAACTACTACTGGGATGATCTCTTAGCCCATGAAGATAATAAACTATTTATGATGGCTTTGACCTCACAATCCATCTTAAAGTTTCTGACTAGCTCCATCTCTTAATATTAAAAGATAATTATTCCAATTTTAGCTTGAATTTGATGGAGATCTTCAAACCATAACAGGTGGCATGTGATTTTTTTCATTTTTATTATCATGCTTTAATTGTACAAATTGTGATGTTTCCACATATGCACACAGTGTGCCCCAGTGAAACTCATGCCCTCTAACATCTCTCCTCATTCCCCTCACCACTTCTTGGAACAATTCCAATAGGTTTTATTGTTCTATCTTCATACATGTACGTAGAATGCTTGAATATAGTCGCCTCTTCCTACCCTCTCCTTTAACTCTCCCCTCCTACTGACACCCCTGTTATTCATTTTTTTAAGGTCTAGATTGTGCTTCAGTAAAAGAATTTGCAATATTTCATTTCTTTATCTGACTTATTTTACTTAGTGTGATCATCCATTTTCTGCAAGTGTCATAATTGTATTGTTTTTATGGCTGAATAATACTACGCAGTGTCTATATGACACTTTCTTTGGGTTTGACAAACCCAAAGGCTGATTCTATATTTTGGCTATTGTGAACATTGCTGTTACAAATTAGTGTGCAATTGTCTTGATTGTATGAAGACTTACATCTCTTTGGATATATACCTAAAGTGATAGAGCAAGGTCTTACGGTAGTTTTTTCTTTAGGTTTTTGTTGTTGTTGTTGTTGCTGTTGCTGTTGGTTGTAGGGCTTGAACTCTGGGCCTGGGTGCTGGCCCTGAGCTGCTCAGCTCAAGGCAAGTGCTCTACCACTTGAGCCACAGTGCCACTTCCAGTTTTCTGGTGGACTTTCCTGCCCACACTGGCTTTGAACCCTGATCCTCAGATTTCAGCCTCCTGAGTAGCTAGGATTATAGGCATGAGCCACCAGGACCCAATCTCGCTTTAGTTTCTAAAGGAATCTCCATAATCATTTCCACAGTGATTGTACTAATTCATATTCCCAATATAGTATACAATATAATGTAATATAATATAATAAATAGTCCCTTTCCCCTGCATGTTCAACAGCATTTGTTATTGGTTGTTGTGGATAAACTGTTGCTCGTTTTGGATGATGGCCATTTTGACTAGGGGAAGATACAATCTCAATGGTGTTTTGCATTTTCTTTAAGCTAAGGACCCTGAACATTCCTGAACATAGGAATTTGTATGTATTTTG